TACATATAAAACTTCGTCTATACTCTAATAAAAAGTTCCCCAGACCAAAGAGGTCACCTTAATACCAAAAAAAAAAATAATTTACTAATTGCAATATGTAATATTTAATAATATATAGATGATAGTGACGAAGAATTTAGTACTGGTTCAAACCAAAATAATAATACAGAAGTTGAGCAAGCTCGTAAAGGGCCATTAGATTCTCATATAGTATATAATCTTTCTAAACCAAAGCAATCAAGATTTGATTATTTGCTTTTAAAAATGACTGTATCAAATGGATGGAGCTTTAGATGGGTTGAAAATCCGGATTCACTTGCTGTTTTCAAGTTTCTTAATTTAAAAATTGCTCTTCCTACTCGCAGAAAATTAAGCAGAAAAGTTTTAAATAAGGCAATTACTGAATTTATGACAAAAATTGAAGAAACTGCCCAAAAAGATTTAGTTGGTATTACCGTAACTCTAGATGGTTGGACAAATGTGATTAATCAAAATTTATTAGGAAGTGTTTTAATTACTTCCTCTGGTAAACCCTTAATATGGAAAGCTCAAGATATTAGTAGTGAAAGAGCACATACTCAAGATGTTATTTTAAAAATTGAAGAGTTATTTAGTGATTTAGAGTCAAAGAAAATTAAAATTATAGCTTTGATAACAGATAGTGCAGCAGCCTATGCTTTAGCTAGGTAATTATTATACCTTTAATATTTTAATTTAAAAGTTTAGCAATAGAATATTGCTTTTTTGCTTGTTTAAGCATAATAAAATAAATATTTTATATTATATTGTAGAAAGCAGTTGCAAATAAAGTACACAGACAAAGTTTTTTTATCATGCTTCGCTCACTAACTAAATTTATGTGTTGGTGAGATTTTCAAAGAATCACCAATATTTAAACAAGCTATTGACAATGCAACTACTATAGCAACCTATTTTGGAAACATCAATCATACATATTTTATTGGGAAATTACGAGACCAACAAGGAGTTTTATATCATAAATATATAACTCTTATCAAGCCAATTGTAACACAATAGAATTCCTACTTTTATTGCTTAGGAAGTCTTTTAAAAACTAAAGAAGCTCTTAAAGTAATTAAATTATTTAAAGTAATTAACTTGTTTAAATGCATACCAATGTATACTTATTAACTATATAATTATTAAATATTTTTAGACATTGGTTGCTAGATATGAACCACGTGATTATGATTCAAGTGATGAATCTTCGGATCTTCAAAGTACTTCAGACTTAGAACTACCAAGTAAAATATGTGATATTATTAATGATGATAATTGGTGGAGGCAAATAAAAAATTTAAAGTCTTTGTTGTTACCCTATTATACTTGTCTTAATTTACTGCAACATAACAAAGCATGGCTTTTTGAAGTATTACATTCATTCGGTTATTTGGCTAGAATGATTAAAGAGTATTATGATACTCACCTTGGTTAGCAACTCTTAAATCGCTTAGAAAAGCGATGGAACTCCTGGGAACAGCCACTATTAATCTTGTCTTTTGTTCTCTATCCATTGTATCAAATGGAAAAATTTAATCCCGAATTAGAATGTTTAACCTGGGTTGATATAGGTGAGCTTATTCTCTATTATTATGCTAAATAGTTTCAACAACAACCAAACTCACTTTTATGGAAGCTTAAGCTTTTTTGCCAAAAAAAATTACCATTTAATAATGAAACATCAAGGCAGTTTGGTAATGATGTAATTGGATATTGGAATTACTGTGTATCACATGCTAAAGAATTAGGTAATGTAGCATTACGAATTCATGGAATTTGTATAAATTCAGCCTCTGTGGAACGTTTTTGGTCTTCAATGGGGTTTATTCACTCTAAACGACGTAACAGATTACCAGTAAGTAAAATATTTATTATTTTAATTATATTATTACATTAAATAGTTTCAAAAAATATTGTAATTAGTTATATTGTAGTTTCATAAAGTATTGGCTATTAGCCAATTACGTGGAATTCTTACTCAAAATTGCAGAGCTCAAGAATTGAATAAATTAAAACAGCTTTATGAATCAACTTCAATGACATTTTTACTTAACCCTTCCAAAAATGCACCAAGTACTTCAACAGTCCAAGATGCTGATAATGAAAGCGATTATATTGATGAAAGCGATTATGTTGATGATACTGATAGAGATGACGATGATATTATCTTATGGTCATCGGATAAAGATGATTTAGATGAAAGTGATTTATCATATTTAGAATCAAATAATATAAATAAATTACAAGAATATCCAGCAGATCGCACAGCAAAGTGGCCATTAAATAGGTTATTTTTGGCTGATTTGGAGGCACCATTTTTTGCATCTTTTTAACTTTGTTACTTTAGAAAATTATATTTTTTAAGGTCAGAATATAAAAATAGTATCTTCCTTGTCTGTTTTGGTTTTTTTTAAAAAAAAAATTATATATTAGCGATATGATAACTATATACTGTATTATGATTAAATAAAACTTATTTTAGCGATTAGAAATATTATGTCAACTTTCAATCGCAATAATATTTAGAATTTTAGAATCCAAAAAAACTAGGTTTCCTTGGTTTATTTACAACCGATAATCTGTTATAATTCTACATTTTCTTATTGTAAAATTAATAATAGAAAATAGTTTTAAAAATCTAGGTTCCGGACTTCAATGGTTCCTGTTTCCTAGTTGTTATTATTTTTCAATCTTATAAGATTCAGGAAGAGATTAAGTTTGAACCCAAGTCTAATAAAAAGTATATTTATTTTTAAAATCCAATAAATAATTATTACTTTAACTTTTATACATATATTTATATTCGAGGTGTAATTTAAAGTATTCTTTAGCAATTATTAGTAAAGTTTATATGGCTGAAATAGTATGTAATAAATAATCTGTATAAATTTAAATTACTTCTCTATAGAATAAGAGTTAGTTTTAACGCTTAATTATGTTGAATTAAATTACTTTGTATATGAGTGTCGCCAAAAGAAAACCCGATAGTCTATATTTAAATTGTCGGGTTTTCTTTTGGTGGCAGAATTATTATACCAATATTATGGAGAGATAAAAGACTTATAAGAAAATATCTTTTGGCATTAAATGCTAAAGAACAATCACTGCTGATCCCTTTTAAAATTATTCTTCCAAACTGTCCAAAACCATTATTTGAGTATTCAAGTTGTACTATATTTGTAAGCAGAAATTTGGTCAATGGTATTGAAAGTTAGCTTGATGATAAAGCATATAAAGATAATGAATCTCTTATATCTCGTTTAACTATTTTTGATAATTTCGAGTATGATGAAGAAAAAGAAGATTTGTCGTAAGAGCTATTGAATGTTCTTTAGTTGCAATGTTTATATGAACAAGTAAAAATCTTAAAGAATTATTACTTTGGAAAACTAATATTAATAAAGTAATCTTCGAAAATCTTCTTACAAATACTACTATAGTCTATTTATCATTCGACGAGATTCATTTTAATTCAGAGGAAATAGGTGAATTAATAGAAGTTATTAGTAAAAACTTTACGATGACTTCATTAAATCTTTCAGATGGTTTTAAAGAAGGAAATTATTAGCAGAAACTATTCATAAAAATACTACTCTAACTTCGTTGCATTTTTATGAAAATCAGTCTGATTTAAAGTGCTTAGAAACATTATTAGAGGGCCTTTTTAAAAATTCAACACTGACTTCTCTAGATATTTGCAATAATTATATTGGATTAGAAGTAGTGAAAGTATTAGCAAAAGCTCTTTGCACAAGCACTACTTTAACTTCCTTAAGTCTTTATAATAATCAACTTGGTTCTGAGGAAGAAAATTATTAGCAAAAGCACTTTGCGATAATACTACTCTGATTACTTTAAAGATTTGTAAAAATCGACTTGGTTTTAAAAAAGTAAAAGCATCTATGGATGCCCTTCGTAAAAATACTGCATTCATATATTAAAGAGATATGTTAAGCAAAATAAATTCTTTGATCTATTATTATAAAATAATTATATATATTTTATTAATCCGTGACATAATTTCAATAATTCTTTGATTCTGCAATTTTATCACAAATTTGATATTCGAATCTCTAAATAAAATTAAGTTTATTAATTATAAATTTATTTACAATAGAAACTAAGTTATTACAACTTTCAATTGAAATTTCTTCTTTATAATAATTATGGCTTGCAAATTATATGAAATTCGCAGATCAAAAAAAAGAAAGAAATCGATAATTCTGCTTTCTGATTTTCGGTTTCTTTAACATTACTTTCAATATTTTATTAAACTGTATTATTTGTTGCTTTTGTAAATAATTTACAGTAATCAAATTAGTTCTATAACAAAATTCTATAAACTACTTTCTCGAAAAAACATAATACTAACTAAATTAGCTAACATTATAACTAATGCTAGCTAGTTTTGTCATTATTAGGTCCTTTTGGGAATCAGTTTTTGCAGTAAAACTAATCAAATTATCTATTAGATAATTACATGATATAGTTATACTAAAACCAGAAGCGGGAATATTAATATTAAATTCAAAAAATAAGACATAGTAAATAGCTGAACATATTGGACATGGACTATGTCCAAGTATATGTCCAATGTCCATGTCCAGTCCAATAGGCTAAAAATTAGTGGACATATGTCCAGTGCCAGCACTGCCCCCACCCACTAATATAAGGCAGTTAAGAGGCTTTATAGGCCTTGTCTCTTATTACCGCCGATTCATTAAAGGCTTTGCCATGATAGCAAAGCCTTTACATAAGTTATTAGAGAAAAAAACTACATATCAGTGGGAAAGTGAGCAAGAACAAGCCTTTGAAATGTTGAAAACCCACCTGATCACGGCCCCGGTCCTACGATACCCTAACTTTGAAAAGACCTTCTATCTCTACACTGATGCATCGGGTGTTGGGCTAGGAGCAGTTCTAGCACAAAAGGATGAAACAGGTAAGGAGTATGCTGTTGCATACGTTAGTAAAAGTCTCACCCACCTATAAAGAAATTACTCAGCTACTGAATTGGAGTGCTACACCATAGTTTGGGCCATAGAGTACTTCCACTATTACTTAGGGTATAAACCCTTTATCATTGTTACCGTCACCTAGTTCTAAAATGGCTTCACAATACTACACTAAAGGGAAGAAGGGCTAGATGGATACTATGCCTCCATCCCTACTACTACATTATAATACACCAGGCTGAAAAAGTACATAACAATGCCGATGTACTGTCTAGAATGACCGAAGAACTACCAAGGAATCAGAAAGAAGATAATATAAGCAACTACTATCCAGGAAAAATTAATGTAAGGGAACTAACTCACAACAGAACCAACAATTTTACCTACCCAAGAAAATTTAGCAGCTCAACGAGCCAAATTAGAAGAGTTGAAGTTTTCCGAGCTATTGCTCAAGAATACTTTCTTGAAGACTCTGATGAGGAATTGGAAATTATCCCTTGGAAGAATAATACTGCTAAGTGGATTGAAGAAGAACATGAAAATGAGATGTCAAATAGTGATGAATATATAAACTATGAATGGAAAGAAGAACTTACCAATAATGAAATTGAAAGAGAAAGGTGTTACCACAACCTCCTAACCAAATTAGCTCTAGAAATCAGAATTGAGATAGCCTGGTTGATTGTAAATGGGTACCAGAATGAGCCTACAAATAGCAATAATACTGAAAGTGAATTACAATCTACTGACTTGGACAAAGCTTACTTAGTCGATATACCCCAATGGGGTGAGACTACCAAAAGACTGAAATTCGAAGACAGTAGTGATGATGGATATGAGAATACGGGCTATGGCTATTATAACCTGCATCTAGATTCCAATCATTGTTAGTAGAATACTAATGAAGACGAAGAACCATTTCCTGAATTTACTACTAACCTAGAAGGCTCAGAATGGCTACCGGAATTTGATGACTACATTAATTGGGACTACAATAACTCATAGTAGGGGTAATTCTATGCAGAATCAATCTACAAAGAACTAATAAGAGCCAAACTCTTGAAAACAAGAAACTTAAATACCCGGCAAGCCATGGATGAATCATATTATTTAATATCAAAAAAAAAACAATAATAACATTATTTAGTAATATTCCGTATTAGCCTAGTTGTACATATATAAAAAAAATGTGTGAACAAGTAGTAACAGACCTGACGTTAGAGTAAGGATGGTCAGGATGGAATGAGGCGAGTTGTGGGGCTCCATTCAGAAGAAAACACCGAAGTACCAAGTAAAAACGTTGAGGTCCTAATTGACGCCTAATTAAAGAGAACAATGTCAAATAGGAAACATGAAATAACATTAAAAAAAAAAAAAAAAAAAAGAAGACCTTTACAATCTAATTATCCAATCCTTAGAGCAAAAATAAGGAGGGATACAAGCTAATTACGATTGATTCGAGCCGAGATTTGGAAATCAAGAAATTCGAATAATGACAAGAATAACTGAACAACATAGGAAATACCAATACTGAAACTTGCTATGCCTGGCAAAAGCTGGCCAGAATGTCAATTAACTAGTAAAGAAATATACTACCAAATGAAGGGTTGCAAAAGTATCCAACGGAGCTGAGCACACTAAAAACACGTACAAGGGCCTAAGAATTGAATATGGAGCCAAGGAAGGCAGATCTCTGTATACAGCTTACAGAAGATATAACTGCAGAAACGAAAGGAAAATCGACTAAATCCTAGGAAAATAGACGGTTAGAAATAATTATAGGAGGAATAAAGATTCACGACTATACAGAGTTGAACATTGTTAACAAACTGAAATTGGGTTCAAGAAGCTGAACAATGACAAAAAGGTATTACACATGTCAAACCTGACGTAAAATTAAATTTAGCCCAGGTTGTTGGTATCCTGGCTAAAAGATGAAACTAAAAAAGACTGAACATACTGGTCTTATCCAAATTCAAGAAAAAAAAGATGAGGGCCAAGTATACTAGAATATGGAAAGACCTCACCAGACTGTCAATTTGAAATAATATCAACACACAATTAGATACTATAAACTCAACTAAGAGACATCAATATAGCAAAGAGACAAGGAATTTAAGCTAAAAATACTCCCCACACACTACGAGAGAAATAATACGGTTATTTTGGACCCTAAGCGAAATTAAACCTGACGTAAAATTAAATTCAGCCCAGGTTGTCAGTATCCTGGCCAAAAGAAAAAGAAAAACGAAACTGAAGAGGACCAAACATATTAGCTTTATTTAAGGTTGTAAAAATGGATCCTCAATTATATTCGGCACTGAAAAATTACATTCAACACCATCAATACCCACCAATATACGATAACCAACAATGAAAAGAATGGAAAAACGAAGCAGATTTTTTCAAGTAAAGGCTGGAAGCCTACACAAGAAAAATAGAAAGAAAACAAAGAAAAATTTGTTAAAGGTGTTACAAGAAGGAGAAATAGAACCCATCTTAGAATTAGCCCACAACCACCCTATAGGAACCACTTCGGAAAAGACATAGTATTCAATAAACTTCGTGAATGCTATTATTGGCCACAAATGTACCATGATATTTGTGAATATGTGAAGACATGTGAAAGCTGCCAACGCCATGAAAGCAGAAAATCTAAGGAACTATTACACCCGATACTCGTAAAAGCCCCCTTTTCATAGATTAGGGATCGATATAGTCGGCCCACTTCCTATAATGCCCCATATGAACAAATATATAGTTGTTGCGACCGACTATATGACAAAGTGGCCAGAAGCCCACACAATTCTCATGGCCAATGCACAAGAAGTGGCCCAGTTTATTTATGAGGAAATAATATGCTAGCACAGATGTCCTAACATCATATTATCTGATCAGGGCTCCCATTTCAACAACCATGTTGTTGATGAACTATTGGTGGCTTTAGGCACTAAGCACCACTGCTCCACCCCCTATCATCTCCAAACAAATGGGCTTGTAGAACATTTTAATAAAATGTTGTGCAACGCAGTAGCGAGACTAACCACCAACATGACGGACTGGGACTTACTAATCCCACCAATTCTGTTCACCTATCACACAGCGAAACAAGCTACGACGCAGGAAATACTTTTTTACTTGGTGTACAGTAGGACCGCCCAATTACCTATCCACCCTAGTGAATCCAAAGATCTACTGAACGATACTATCATACAGAGGCTGTATGAGATCGACAGTAATTTGCCTGAAGCCCATGAGAATGCACTGTGCCGAATTAAGAAGGTACAACAAGAGCAGAAAAGGCGTTATGATCTACAAGTCAAAGCCACAGATGATTTTCATATTGGTGATAAAATATTAGTGCTAGATGCCCGGAAATTGGGCACACGTACCAACAAATTGATGCCCAAATGGAAAGGGCTGTACTACATTCATGCTATTCTTCCAAATGGCGCCTACAAGATAAGAGAACTAAATGGGACAGTACTCGTGACACCCTTGAATAAAGCCCTACTCAAGCCCTATCATGAGCGAAGCAATTAAAGAACCCACATATTGGAAGTACCTAATCAAGGTGTACATCGTTAAAAGAACATAATATAAAAAAAAAAAAAAAAAAAAAAAAAAAAAGAGAAGAAAAGAAGGTCGAAAGAATGAAAAAAGCGGAAAAGGAACGAGAGAAGGGATAAAGAAGAAAATATATAAAGGCTGTGAATTAGCTGTTGAAAATGCAAACTTCAGATCCAACCTAAATACTAAAACACTCTGAAATTACTATTACTATGGTCTCTTATCAAACTTTGATTCAACAGGACCTACTCGCTACTGAACCTTCGCTCGTAATGGCCGCACCCTGCCCTTACGATGCTGGTCAAGGAATTGCAACCAAATTAGCCCTTGCCCGAGACAAAATTAATAGGGCCAAAGCTAGGGGAAATAGGCTTGATGCCCTAGTATATGCTTACTATTTCAGTGCCTGTATGTCTACGGCCACTTCAACTGAAAAAGCTGCGGCAAGAAGGGAGTACGGGGAATACTTCCTTCGGGGTGCCAAACGTGCCTACTATTTGTTCAAACCCTTCGGGGTCGAACAAATCTATAGAACCACTCATACCCGTCTCACCAAACTTACGACATTACCAAAGGAACAATTAATGAATTAATTCAAGACGAGCTTGCGTTACAAGCTCTCTTCGGAGGGGAATAATTGTGACAGTTAAGATTAATGTCACCATACCCGAAATCGGGCTGTGTCGGATGTCTATCATTTTTCTTTTCTATTTTTGTATCTTTTTATTCTATTTTCGGGAATAATGGGAGAAGTTTCCTTTTAGGGTAGTAAATTTAGTAAATTTAGTGAATTTAGTGAATTTAGCAAATTTAGCAAATTTAGCAAATTTAGTTAATTTCGTTAATTTCGTGAATTTCGTGAATTAAATTACCGAATTAAGTCTGTAAATTTTGCTATAAAAGAGCTCTTTGCTCGCCCCAAATAAAAGATAACTCTCGCTTGAGTTTTAACTTCGAAATTACTCTAGTAGAAGTTGCTCCTTAATAATTGACCTCCTTGACCCAATTCGTCCCTAATAAATCTATATTTCTGTCCCGAAATTAGAGTAGAGTTATCGCTTAGTAAGAAACGTTGTAGTAAAAGTTCCGATAACACTGTCGAAATTAGAGTAGAAGTGTTAGTCCCGAGTTGTTAAAACATATAGTACAATTACAAATTATACTTATCGTATAACCCTTGTCCCCGTGACCACATTATTCTTCTATCGAAAACGTCAATTACAAGAAAAGAGTATTGAATAATAAAATAGTACCCTTTTCAAAAATACACTTATTAAATACCTTATTTTCTCGTGACGCATTGTCATCACTTATTAAGCCAACAATCAATTAATTGATCGAACAATTAATTGATCTTCGAAATTACCCGTGACATCAGCCTCATCGGTTAATTGGAGATCCGAATTCCGCCAATTATCTACCAGTGACGTAGATCTTATATCCAAATTGAACATTAAATCACCGATAGCCGCTAGTATCGTGATTACGTCACACGTGACCACGAAAGAGCGAAACACTCTAAATCGAAGAACTAGAAGTGTTAGTGTTAAAGAAATTAATACAAACGAAACCATAAGAAGCTAAAAGGATACAGGAGTATTATCCAAGGTCCGGAACATCACCACAAGACCCGAAGAATCTTGAAACTCGGACCAAGTCTTTCCACGCCCTCTTTCTGCCTTCCACTTCAAGATTTTAGGAGTCTTGAAACCTAAGTGGATTATTTTAGTAGCATAATATAGTATTTTAGTTAGCTTAGCATAGAAAGTTTTAGTTATCACCTTCTCAACGGACGGGTTTATTTAAGCCCGACGCGGCCTGTTTAAACCAGACCCCGATAAAAAATTTCATAACGGGTTAATCTAAACTCCGACCCGATCCGATCATTTTACAATATAATAACGTCACGTTAGGGTGTTCAATAAACTAATTAATCAAAACATTAAGCTCGGATTTTTTAAAGGGTTATTTCACCTATAAATTTATATATGAATTTGTACTAATTTAGGTACATTTTTCTACACAACTAACAGACAAAATTGTACCATTTTTTTTTTAAACTGTAGTTCTAGACTAGCTCTATAGTGTAACAGAACCGGTTTTTTAATAACCTATGTTAATTATTAATAATAATTAATCCAAAATTTTATTAAAAGTTATTTAAAACCCGGTTCTGTTACAATGTAGAGCTAAAAAAAACATATACAATTTTGTTTGTTGGCTAAATTAGTACAAATTTATAAGTGAAATAACCCTTTAAAAATCCGAAATTAATGATCATCATATATGACCCCTAACTAAGTTTTGATCAATTAGTTTATTGAACACCCTAACGTCACGTTATCTTAGAACAATATACAATATCAGATTAGGGGTGGGTTCAGTCGGTTACGATCGGTTACGATAAGTTATTACCGTATAGTTCCAAAAATAAGCACCTCCCCGAAAATAAGCACCTGTGGCCCGCACTATGCCAATTTTGGGCTGCATTATAATGATCTCGGCCAGCATTACAAGCAAAAAAGGTGCTTATTTCGGAACTATACGGTATAGGTTATTGATGGCTAGCCGGCTAACCTCGATCGGTTATATAAGGCTAAATGACCGGTTATAACTGATCGATTTTTAATCGATTATTTAGATTTTGCTATGTAAATCCTTCTCCGCTTCTAATAAAAGTTGTAGAAGAAGAAACTTCGATTATAACGATGGTTAAAAACTAATATTGACCCGGTGAATAACGATATGTGAAT